GACTGAAAACCCCCCACACATACACACTGCCTCTATATTGGTCTCTCTCTCAGTCACATTAGTGTCAGTTAAACCACTTTGCCTTACTTGCTTGGTTTGTCAACGTGGCTGAAGATGCTGTGCATATGAACACAGCTGCTACATACATTCACTGTGGTTAGCTACTGACATAGTGTGCACTACTTTTATATTTTCTCATTAACATATTAAACCACTGACATCTCTTAGAATACATCCTGTTGAATGCAGCATTGTATGTCTAAAACACGCATACTCAAATTAAATCCAACCTGAGGTAACTGACACATGAACTCACACTAGCTTATGAACTGACACTAGTACTTAATTTAATGAAACTGAAGGCTCAGTGCTTCCCCCTAAATATTTTTCAACAACTTTTCCACGCGTGGGACTAATAAAGCTTATCTTATCTTATCTGATGAGCCACTGTGGGGAGTTATACATACATATATAAGACAGACATAAAACATGCATGAGTCTTTTGGTTTTGAGTGGTGTGTACAGCGCCACAAGCAAATTAGCAGCAGTTTATGGAATGCAGAGTCTGGTCAGTTAATTTTTTGGGCCATCATGTGACTCCAAAGTTCACATTGGTAGATTTGCTTTGACAACTGTAATACAAGACCAGGCCATGGTGACAAATTGGCAGTGATCAGAGTGGTTTGGGACAAGGGCATGGAGCCCCAGGTGACACTTCCGTTTCAAATGGTATATACCAAGCATGCAGTCTAAATATGGCATAAAGAAATGTATAACACCTGATTACAGGACAAGTTATGCCTGAAGTATGCAGGTTTATAATGGGAAACCTGCAGACGGTGTTCCTGAAAAGATCCAAGTGAGGGTTGTGGTTCTGAACATGATTGCAGGTCTCAGGGACATAAGAAAATTTGATAATCTTTTCATGTTCTGGCTGTTTCTAAACAAATGTCCTTGGTAATTTGACCCAAAGTAACCTGTGGTAATCATAAATTGTTTCATAAGCAATATAACCCAGATATTGGGTTTCATTTAGAACCCAAATTTAAGGACATATTAATGAGACATACAGGCAATACATACCAAGCAGAAGTTCAAAATATGTAACCCTCACAAGAACTTAAGCTGAAAAAAAGAAACTGGGCCATGATACCATGCAAGAGTAACATTGATTTTATTATATACAATGACCAGGCATAAAATTAGGACCACCTGCCTAATATTCCCCATTTTCCTGCCAAAACACCCCTGACCCATTGCAGCAAAAATATTAGCAAAAGATTCTGTAAATCCTGTAAGTTACAAGATGGGGCCTCCATGGATCAGACTTTTTTATCCACAGATGGTTAGTTGGATTGTGATCCTTGGCATTTGGAGGCCAAGTCAGCACATCAGACTTGTTGTTGGGCTGATAATTTTGATAATTGATAATTTTCCTTATCCTCTGGTGTCTCTGTGCAGAGATGTCATCCTCTAACCTGTTTAACTTACCTGGAGCTAATCCTTGGCAATCTACGGAGGGTACTTATGACCAGCATCACCATCTCTTCAGTACCAGTTCATCAGCTTACCCATGTTGGTAACAGGCTCTCTGTTCTCCTTCTATGACCAAGTTTTTGTGTACTTACCTTTATCTCTTTGTGCAACAGTTCCCCTGTCAAGCTACTGCTCCACTTCACAGCTGTGCTCACCATTCAGATGCTGGTCAAACTCTTACTGGATTCACACCACCGAACTCCATGTTCTGTTTCCTTGGATGGATATCTGCGCCACATATACCTGCCTGCCTCCCTGCCACCGACATTCAAAGGGAACTCTGGAATTCAGGTCATACACCTGGACATACAGGTTTTGATTCCACTCACGGGCACAGGGAGGACAGAGATGGGGCAGCGGGGGATTCTCTGGCTGGAGCGGCATCTAATAACGAGTTTGCAAAATAAAACAAATATTTTTTAACCCTTAGATGCAAAACAACACGTTTATCTTATATTGGTTAAAATAGTTGTTAAACAACACAACACGTGTTGGGGTCAAAAATGTGAAGTTGTAATACATTCATATTCCAGGTATTCCTCATAAAACATGTTTGTAACATGAGGCCATTTGCATTTTTATTTATTTTTTCATTAATTTAAAAAAAAAAAAAATGCAGCTTTTGTATCACTACCCCACTCTTCCACAAGTGGGGTCAAAAATGACCCCAAGCAGTTCCTGTGGAATCTTCTATGAAACTTTCATTCTTAGCAACTCTGACTGTCCCACTTACACTTCTGATGGATCAAGAATTAATTTTTACACAGTAACATACATGATTTAAAGTCAGGGCTGCACATAAGTGGTCTGCAGGTGTGCATTTGCTGCCAAAATAAAAGTATTCCTGGAAATTCAGAGAATACGAACTTCTTTTGTTGTGGAGGAACACCAAAGTAATTGCTTACAGAGCTTGCTTCTTCGACATCTTTAAGAGTTCTGAACAAATGTCTGTCCTCCTCCAGAACATCTAATGTACGCAAACGAGCGTTCCAACTTCTTATCAGGTGCATTCGCTGTCAAAATAAAAGACATGCACCTGCGGAACACTTATGTACACCCCTGTTTATAGTTTTCTGTGCATTTTAGACATTGTCCTTTCTGGTGTTTTTTAAAAAAATATCTAAAGTAACATGGCTGCTATGAGGCCAGCTAGGATCCATGTGGACCTTGCCCTACAAATGATCCAGGACAGGTGGGATGACGAGCCCATCGGTGGCATTGACTCAGAATCTGACATCTCAGATATAGAGGACACAGACTATTGTCCCCCCCCCCTCCCGTCCCCCACTGAACAAGGACAGTCAGATACAGAGGAGCCCTCTGATGAGAAAATGGATATTGAGTCCAACAGAATGAGCCCCTCTTACTGCTCTAGCCACAATATTCTGAATTAGTCGGCCAGGGCTTGCACCTGGGTCTAGTACTGTCTCCCCAATAGATGCATGGAAGATGTTCATGTCTGATAATATTGTCAAGTGTTCTCTGACTGTGAGGTGCCCACACTTGAAAAAGACCAGACTTTGAATTTCACTCAACTTTATTTTGACCAGGTAGATAGGTAGGTAGCAGCAGCAGGTAAAAAAAAACCTTTCAACACAAAAATAAAGAACATTTCATTAACCAGTAACCATTCAGATAAATTACATGCATTACAGAGAAGACAGATGAAATAACAAAATACACTTCAGTAAAGCCATTTACCATGTGGTTAACTGTGTTAATTTAACTGTGGTTCTTAAATATACAACATGTGTCTTCTTTGCATATAACACTTTTTTATAAACAATTGCATTTTAAAGTATACATTTTAGAGTTCAAACATTTTACACAAACATTTTAATAGAGACTTTAACTAAGGATTTTCTTTACAAAGAATTATTTTCTTTAAATCAAAACCAAACATTTATTCACTAGTTTTTACGATCCACCCAAGGATTTGGGGGGTAACTATTTTTAATATTAAGTAACATAAATATGTGGGAACACTAACTGCACAAACAATTTATTCAAACTTAAACATTCTTTTTTGTCAATATAATTTTTTAAACTTAAATGCAGCAACTATTTCCCTAAGCGTAAAACATTTGCACAACTGAGCTTCCACAGTTCCAAATATATGTGCAGCAAATGTGAGCTCACGAGCTTACCGATAGCCCGTCTTGTTTAAAGTCTTCCTCACAGTGGAACAGTGCTTTGTTTGCCGTCCTCTCAGTGTGTTGCTCACGGGTCAAATGACTGCTGCATGCATTTTAAGGTCTACTAGGCACGCCCACCCTTGATTGCTCTAATGTGGCTCACCTGGCAGGGCGGCGCACACCAGGCCGTGCTTAGTTGTTGATTGCACCCAAGGTCTAATCAGCGGCCATGCACAAGCAGCAGCACCGAACAGGTAGTGGGCAGGAGGAGGAAGAGAGGAATAACAGCCACACCTACTAGGTCAGCGCGACAAATATAATAGAAGAGGTGCTGACATGCACAAACATGGCGGCATGAAGAGTAGCCACAGACAGGGGAAAAGAGTCGAAAAATGTAATCAAACAAAAGCTCCTGGCCTTCATTTGATTGACC